AAAAAATAAAAAAAATAATAATTAATTATAATAAATTATAATTAATTTTATAACTTATAATAATTTTAAAGAGAATTTTATTTTTTCGAAATATCGAATTACCGAGAGTCGACTGTATTTTATTATATTTTGATGAATTATTATTATAGTTTTAAAATAAATCAACATTTATTTAACTTCTTGTTTAAATTTTAGTAAGCTGGTTCTCATACTCAATCAAATATTTAAAAGAAGATAGTTTTAAGAAAATATTATATAATATAGGTACAATCTTCAAACAAAGCATATTTTAATTTGGAATAATATATTTATTAATGTTACAGGTTTACATAAAAATAAACAACTATTCCATTCTACAGTATGTTACTGTATAATATAATCTGTGTGTAATTATCAACTTTTGTGATAATAATATCCCAGATATTAATTGTAAAACTTTTTTCCAAATTAGCTCAGAAAAAACAAAAACAAGAATAATAAAAATAAAAAAAACAAAGAACAGTGAATAAGGTTCCACGGAGAAGCTCAAATATGTTACAATGGGTTGTAGAACAATGTGATCACCCCTTTATAGAGTCATTAATGATTTTTAAACCATCGGAAGTCGTTACATCATAAGTCAAGGCTAATATTAGGTAAAGTGTGCTGATCAAATTGTGATTGATTACACGCATTTGGAGGGCTAGAACGAAGGTAATAAAAAAATATGTTTCTAAGTGTCTAAGTTTTTATTACATTATTTTTTTCGTCCCCTCTCGTAATTCCTGTAGTCATTATTTTAATTCAACTTAGGCAGAGTCGGACGTTCAAAGATTGTCTGATGATAAATCGTTGCGAGCTCGGTAATATTCGTTTACGGTAAAATCATGCAAAAGGCAGCTGGAAAAGAAATTTAATATTATAATAACAATCGATTATATTATATAGGAATAATTTTTATAACTGAATATATTAAAATATTACCCTTAAACCTATGCATATAACCAAATTTAAACTCAACATTTTTAATAGATAATACCGAATAATAACGCAATTGGTATTATAATATATTTTTTTAATTTCTAATATAATATAACTGTATATACCTACCTATGGACTATGGTAAAATATTAGTTACGAACTTCCATGGAATCAAAAAGGGATGGCTTGAGCATATTATTCTATATTATTATTTTATTATATGATTTTCGTGGAAAACTTTAAACTATCGAAACATTAGATACGTGTAGACTGTAGGTGTGTATCATAATTTTAGTATTTTACACATTATGCGTCAATGCGAAAATATTAACAGTACAAGTGGATTGAATCTAAAGTATATTTACAATATATCATTTACTGCTGAAAATAGATGGTGAATAAGATGACTATGAAATAATTTCTAAATTAATATCATAAGACTATTTTATATTATATATATTTATATCATATATAATTTGATATATTTAATATATTTAATATATCGATTAAGAATTATTAAACAAAAGTATTTTTTCAACACGCACATGCACATCGCGTTTTATTATACGCGATTGCCCATGACGTGTTAGATTTTTCTAACAATATATTTTTATATAATTCCATTGAAAAATGAATTCTATTTTTTCACAAATTATATTCATAACATTTTAAACTGGCCTTAATAATATCTACTAATCAAATTTTTAGTATAACTGCTTCAACAATAACAAGCGTCCATTTAGATTTTAGATCATTGAGTTAAGTTACTATCTATATAGCACCACGGTAAGCACCATTCGAATACCACTATTATCACATTTCGTTTACTAACCATATTAAGTCATAAACATAATTTATAACTAATATCTATTAATCTAATTAGTATTTTACTTCTTCACTATCTTGTAATATAAAGACGAAGTTATACAGAGATCATTCTTATTAAAATAAACTAACTAACCTTTGGCTCGAATCAGTAAATTGTGAATCGGGATATACATCAAAAGCACATGACGGATACATTTCACTCCGACCTGCATTTTGGTTAACTTTAAATTTAACTTTTTTTTCTGGCGGCGGTGCACTGTCTCGTTCCATTATATTTGTAATATATTCACTTTTACTGTCACTCATATTTCATTAGAAAATATATATCGTCAACGGTCCGTTCAAAACAACATAATATACAATATACATAGACGTAACAGTATAATCAACGTAATATACAATCAATTTATTTTTTTATTTTATTTTATTTTTTTATTTATTTAAAGAAATCTACAATCTATACATGCTTTTTGTACAATAAGTAGGTTTGATATATGAAAGGTAAAATATGATATGAGTAGTTAGATTAGGGAAGATACCCAGTGGTAACACCCTAAATTTATTTATACGCAACAACATAGCCCATAGGTGTACATATTATACTTTTATAAATCGTATAAAAATAGATAAGCCGATACTGCGCACCATAGATATATAGGTACAACAACTAGATAGCCGTCATTATACTACAGTCGTGATCAATATTGAAATCGGCCGCCATTTACAAAGCAGGCAATGTTTACATTTATTTTACATTTAATTACATACATATATATTTATCTATACATATATACGATGATAATATTATTTTGTAAACATTGCCTGCTTTGTAAATGGCGGCCGACTTCGATGACAAGAAGGAGACGGCTATTTAGTTGTTGTATATATCTATGCTGCGGACATAGAGAGGACATCGCCGAGCTTCGAAGAATTGAGAATTGACCATTTTTGTGATGGGAGAACACACAGTTGCGTATCGCAAAGTTGATATCTTATACCTATTTATTTTGTCATCACTTTTTTAGTCGGTCTCACTACTGTACAGCGCCATAAGATGTTTCACATCAAAAACAATACATGGACAACGCTGTAAGTCACGTTAACTTGTATATAGAAACTTAGAATTATTTATTAAGGTCCCTTTTGATGCATATTTAAACACCGTAATTAAAAAAAAAGAAAAAAATTAAAAAGACGCGCAAAGGGCGTGTATAAGCAATCCATTTTACGTAAGACGTCACTCATTATTTCAGGAAACAATGACGTTTTTGAAAATATCATTTTCACGTAATTTTAATTAGTTTCAAAACAACACTTTTGGATTTTATTTATTTTTTATTGTTATCAGTTTTTAAGTTGTTTACTCTTTTAAATAAATTATACAACATGCATTTTTAATTTCATATTTTCTAACGTAACATTATTGAATTAATCTGAGTATTATCTCTGAGAGATTACTCTGTGCAATAATATATATAATATACAGCATGATATATTTTTTTAGCTAATATTACTATAAAAAATACATAACTGATAACAATACAACCTGAATGAGCTTCACTGAGCAAGATTAACGAGGGTTCTAAATGGCACAACGATATTCTAAAATAGAACATTCTAGAGGAAAATATAAAATTACTAAGCAAATTGGAGAAATCTAAATCCACGTAGAGCTTTATTACACATCGCAGTCTTTTGAGTTTTTTCAATATACCTTGTTGATACACTTTTTTGTTCATTGATCAAATAGCTTAAGAATTCAATAATATCAAATAAAAACCAAATAAATAATATAATAATAATAACATTTATTAGTGTAAATACTAAATGTACACAAGACTACTGCAATATAGCCATACATTTTATAATTTATAAGTATCATCTTTATACATAAACATTTCTTTTGGTTCAGGGGTAGAATTCTGACCACAGTAACTGCGAAGCTTGTTTTAAGCAATTAAAAAGAGTTAAACGGAGGGCAGAAGTAACCGCTACTGCAGATCATAGACTAAATATTAAATAAACACAAGAATACAAGATTGCGGAAATATAGCCATACCAATATCTCTTCTTCTCAATATTTATTATAAATTATGATTATTGTCACTATAAATGTTTTTGGACTAACTTATTTTGAACTCGGCTTCTGACTTGTTGATCAGCCCGACGACACTGTAATATCGGTGATTATAATTGTGTGATATGATATAATCACTTGGTTACTTTCTCTATCCCGTGATTCATGTTGTTCATGTTACTCATATTAAAACATTTCATCTGTATAATGAATATATGTATATAACTATTTTATATACATTTTTGTTTTGTACAACTAAAATAAAAAGCCATTGGGATAACACGATTTACAAACATAACACGAATCACGGGACCGGTAAAGTAACCAATGTGAGGTACTAAGGTAATATATAAATCTATTTAGAAGAGTGGTTTTATCGTCGGCAATCTATGAAAAAATTGCAATTTTATATCACACATTTCAAATAAATTGAAATTTGAAAAAATCGCATCTGCATATTTTGCAGCTTTACAACATTCGAATACCAAGGGGCTCAGAAATTTCAGAAAATAAACTAATAAAGAACAAAGATATACGTGATGGAGCTTAATACCTATTGATGAAATAATACATTGAGTGATTTAAGTTCACCGATTACACAATTTATTATTATTACAAACGTTTATAATCTTATGTACAATATAACAATAATAATGATACAATAGATAAAATCGTGAAAAATATCAAATAACAATATACCTAATATAATTTAAAGAATTTTCGTATTTTCATTGTTTTTTTTTTTGCACACAGGTGGAAACAATTTTCTAGGAACGAGTGACTGGCATATCTTTATAATATTTAAAATACAACCAATCGGTAGGGTAGTTTTAAAAATAGTTTACTCACCACTGCTGCAGAACAATAATAATACTATACACGGCGACCGGTAACTGCGGCGGCGGCTATACCTTCCTATTGTGCTAGAATATAGTGCAAACTACAAAGTAAAACCATGAAAACATTATTAAATTCTTCACGGTGATGATCGGATAAGTATATTACATATAGAATGATAGAATATTACACTGATTTTTTAAGAACAAATATCGTAATTGAAAACAAGTTATTACTTATTATAATATCATTTTAATTGAAATCACACGGTGAACGTGCTGGCGGTGCCGTACGAAACTTATTTGCAGTTAATTTGCTCGTTTGGGTCAACGACGCATTTCGCGTAATTGGTCTGATCGAAGCCTTCATTTGAGACGCACATGTAACACCAGGAGTCGCAAACGCAAATCTTCGACTCGTCCGTGCAGCAGCCCTTCATGCAATCGTCTTTGGTGTAGAACTGTTTGTTGCCAAATTCGATTTTACAATGGAAACATACGAATTTGTAATCGTCGCCGTCGGAAAATCTGTCATTGCACGGCCTATTATCTTTGACGTGACAATCCGAAATCAGACAATCATTGCACGTTTTGAAGAGAACACCGGATTCCATCGATTCGATGGGCGAGTACAAGTATAAGAAATCAAACAGTAAGAAGAAACCGATCAAGGGCACCTAACCTAACCTAACCTAACCTAACCCAACCTAACCGCGGCGGCGTTCAACATATTGTTCTTGTTGTTATACTAACTTATATATTATGCAGTACGATATCTGATATTTCGAAATCGTCTCCTCGGTGGATCGCTTGCAGTGGTCACTCGAAGTTGATTCAGTGAATGAGTGTGTGTATTTTATATTACTATCGTGACAAGTATAATATATTATAGGGGAAGGGTGCACGATAAACGATATTCTAGTGATAATTATGACTTGTGTGTGCGTTGGTAGCTTATTAACTGACATTTAGATCGGTATGCATATCGTTTTTATGTCCAAACGGCTGCCGGTTCTAAATGTGGTAGGGTTATGCAAATTGGCTTTCGAATGAACAAAAATAATAAATATTTAACTTCCGTCGTATAGTGTGTGCCAAAAGTCCCGTATCTCTCTAATATCATCTCAGTGTCAAATCCACGTCGATATAGCTTACAGTTTCTATTTTTTCAACAGCAATTTATTCGAAATGTATGAATTGGTATTTTCATATAGATTATCGACAATAAAACCAACCCTCTAAATATATTTATGTGCCCACCTGACAAACTAATACTCGAGGCGAATCTCGAGACTTTTAAGAAATAATAGATCATATTTAAATTGTTAAAACGGCCTAACCTAGAATTCTAATAATTAATATGTACCTACCTATGTCGCATCAACATATTGGTATCATCATAGACACAGAAAATAACTACTTATTTTATGAACTGGATATCCGGATAGTGAAATTCGCCTAGATGGTGAACTTTGACGAAAATACTATATTATATATCATAATCAATTATCTTCCAAAAACCGTCCATTCTATACATATCTATATTTTTTTAAGAACAAAAACATAACAAGTCAATAAATTATATTATATTTTAAAATGTATTTACTTGCTACCTATAAACAATACGTTTGATGTGTATTATTTCTACATAAATATTTTTTTATATTGTTTTAAATTACTATTTATTTTTGCACGGAGATTTATTATGACATCAACTATTACTCATAACATGTTACTTTTAAAACATACACACCTACACAAATATTATTTTTGGTGGATCTGTAAGTCCCCTATAGGTTAATTCACTTTCGGTACTCCGAATAGGTACAATTTATACAACGCATTGAATAATTAATAATTTCAAAATCGTCTGATATATTATTGTATGTTTCCCCTGGAATAATGCATTTTAATTAGATCTGTACATTATAGGAACTCAGGTAAGTTGACGGGTTACTGTGTTAGGTGAGATGACTAATTGATGATATCACGATTAAGCTGATAATCAATAGTTTGAAAAACTAACATCATACATTTGGAAACATTTTCAGATTTCAAATTATTTTGAACAATGGTAACAAATTTATTTACAAAAAAAGAAATTAATGTTCGCCAATGTAATGTTATAAATTGTCATAACCCTATAATAATTAACTTAAATCAGTACGTAAAATCAAATATTTTAACTCATTAATTGAATGACACTTCTATTCTTAGTTTTCATTTACTATGTTCTTTATTTGAAATTTCTTTGTTTTAATGAAATGAAAAAAGTGTGCATAATGAAAACTTTAAGAATTTGAGTTAAATAATAAAATAATAAATATGTAACTCAGTAATTACAAGTAGGTGTGTAATTTAGATAGCTTTAATATAAAATATTAACGAGAGAGATTTGATATCACACCCAAGCGGTATAACCACTTCAGTCCATAAAAACGTCGGCTGAAATTTCAATTTTTTTAAACTTTTCTCCTAAACTATTTTTAGTACAAACATTTAGTACAACACAGTACAACTTTCGTACATGAAAATGGGTAGCTTTGGCAGTTCAATAGGTGTTCTATGTTTTGTTCCATACTACACTCGCATTTTGTTGAGATGTCTTGAAGGATGCCCCATTTCTTTAGGTTGTTTTTAGATCTGCCCACTCCTACTCTGAGTCTATTAATTGACCTCCAGTTTGGCCAGTCTAATTCGTATCCTGCTGCCAGCAGTTCTGCTGGTTCGAACTCTAGTTTATTGTTTTCCTTGGAGAGAGAAAGTTTCCACCTTTCTCTTCGTACCTCTTCAGGGTGTTTATTTAGAAGTTTTGTCGTTTGTAGAAAACTTTTTCTGGATTTAAGTCTGAAATTAGGTGTAATTTGGCTATGTAATGGGGGTCGTATGTCAGTTTCTGCTTTGGTTCTTTCCAGTCTGCTTCGACCTCCGGCAGATGTTTAGTAATGCGATACCAACGAGTTGGTAGATCTTAGGAAGTGGAGTATTCTTAAGACAACCTGTTACTAAGCTGCAGGATTCATTGAGAATGGTATCTATTTGTTTTGTGTGGAGGGACCTACTCCACACAGAACTGGCATATTCCCCAGAAGAGAAACACAGTGACAGTGCAGATATACGTAATGTATGCGCGTCCCCCACCCCACGTATAGCCCGTGAGTTTCCGAAGTATATTGTTCCTTGTGGCATTTTTTAGCTTAGTTTTCTCACAGTGGTGTTTATACGTTAGGAATTAGTCTAGCATAACGCCTAGGTATGTGGGATGTGCAGAGTTCTCTAATATGGATCCTCGCCATTCGATTTTCAGAGTTCTGTCTGCCTATCTGTTTTTAAGATGAAAATCACAGACTTGTGTCTTAGTTGGGTTCGGTTATAGGAAGTTTTCATCGTAGTAATCAGATAATACCCTAGTGATTCCTCTAGTGTACTTTCAACATCTTGAAAGTTGTCACCTTGGGCTGCTAGGGATGTATCGTCAGCATATATAAAATGTTTTATAACGGCCTGAGTAAGTATCGGCTGGTCATTAGTGTATATGTTAAAGAGTGTGGGTGCTAGTACACTAGCTTGTAGGAGTCCATTTTTCTGAATTCTCCATCTACTTAACTTTCCTTCAAGTTCTACACAATATCGTCTGTTACGGAGAAGGGTGTTTATTGTCCTGGCAAGTGTATTATCTTTAGTTAGATCCTAGAAAACATTTATGAATTATGATTTATTGTTATAAGAATTATATATTAATTATAAATATGAACTACCATTTATTTTTATAAATGTGCATAACAAACTTTTGTGAAAATAATATTATGAAGTGTAACAATGTAAAATGTAATATAGCAAAGTTTATAATTAATTTTGTTCATTTGGTACAAATAATACTATGTACTAATTTAAGGCTAAATTATTGAAAGAGGCGTTATTTTTTTAACTGCATAGGGCGGCAAAATACTTATAGCGCCGGTCATGCGTAGGCATGGTTTTTTTTTATAAGTATTAACAGTTCGAATTTTGATAAATTTCATCAAAATTCCGAAATTTGCAAAGTATTTTGTAGTTAAAATGTATATAATGTTCAATTTTAGTAGCTACAGATTGAAAATGTTAAACAAGAGTTCTCATAAATAGTTTTTGTTGTTACCAAAAAATCTAAAAAATATATAAAAACAGGTTTTTTATTGACATTTTCAAATGCATTTTTTCATCGAAAATGTATTTAACTTATAGTAGTTCTAATAGTAAAATAAATTACTTTAATCACAATAATATCATAAAATATTCTTAGTAATATAGGATGACGGTCTTCGCTTAAAATCTTTGTCGTAAACAACGATTTTACATCATTTAATTCAAATTTAACACATCCATTACAGTAACTCATCTAGACACCTAATATACCTACGACAGAGCTAGTGCTGTAAGTTGTAACTATAGAGCCAAAGACCCAGGTGCAAAAAAAAATATGTGTATATGGACGGATCCCTCATCTAGCTTGTGCATCATACAATTAATACATAATAAAGCGGACTGAGTGACTGACTTCACAATATGAGTATTTTTTACTCCTTGTAGGTAGGATACTATTGGTGGATGTATTGAACTTTAAAGAATCGATAAATAATTTTCTCATTTAAACAATCAACAAATCTATTTAAGAAGTCATTATAGGCTGAGTAATTTCCCCAATATATTTAGATAAACAAATCCAAGTCCAAACAGACCAGGCCTTTACATTTTCATTATATGAAATTGAAGCAAGGAAATAATAAAATTATTATAAATCATATTAATGGCAAATAAAATAAAATCATCTGTTGACATCATTAGGCCCTTCGAACCGGCATGCAGGCCCCAGTTCTGTGCACCACCTGCGACTAGATTTGTACGGCACAAAGTAGATCAAATTGCTTGTTTTGTTTTTTAACAATCCATTTTTACGGTTTTTATTTATAACAAATGTATTGAGCATTTAATTCAACACAAGAAGTCAGTGCGCCAAAATCAAAAAAGTGAGAAAAAAACAAGATGACAACACATAATGTGTCGTTTCTTGGACACGTCCAGTATTTTTATTGTTGTTCATTTTCAGTTTTTATTTGATTTATTCGTTTATTCTCCCCAAATGCCTTTATGAACAATAACAGCTGTGTACTCACAGTTTTAAATTGCTAGAGGTTTTTAATATTTCAGCTTGACTATTATAATATTTTGTAACATACTATGTATATTTGTGAAATTAAAATTTATCATTTATTATTAAACGTTATAGGTGATTTATAAATGGTTGATATATCCTTTGATTTGGCTGAATGTGATTTATTTTTACATTTATAAAACATACTCAACCAAGTTGTAATTTATATTATAATGAATCATCAAACAAGTACTTTATAGACATAACAGCACCTATATATATATAATGTGGGGTGCTATGTTTGTAAATGCCTCACTAAGCCATGACGGTGGCTCTGGCTTTTCCCTCCACACATCATATTACCAAAATTACAAGTCTACAATAATCAATACGACACCAGTATCTTTTTAATCGACGTGGGGGGTTATTTGGCATGAATTCACAGGCTAAGTTGGAAATCAAAGGATTTGTGTGGTCAACTGT